CCTAATGGTTCCAGTGGTCTGTGAGATGACTTTTCTTAAAAATTCAGCCCAAGTGATGTGCCATTCTGGATGGTAACTAATTTGCTGATTCAGATTTTCTCTTTGACCAGAGGGGACGGTAGTGGGAAAAATTATGACTAGAAAAAGAGAAGCATATGGACAAGTAGGAAAACAAAAATTAAGGGAGAATCAGGCAGAGAGAGAAGCAAAGAGAAACAGGAGCAGAGTCACAAATATGACAACTAGCAGAACAAGCCTGAAGGGATAATTACTTTTGAGCAGATGACAATGTGGCTGGATTCCCCAGTTCATTACAGTTCATTTATTCAGCAAGTATTTATTGAGAAAATTGACAGTAGACCATTATCTTGCACCATACACAAAAATTAAGTCAAAATAGATTAAAGACTTGAATGTAAGACCTGAAACCATGAAACTTCTAGAAGAAAACAGAGAAAGTATGCTCTTTGACATCGGTCTTAGCAACATATTTTCAAGCACCATGTCTGACCAGGTAAGGGAAACAATAGAAAAAATAAACAAATGGGACTACATCAAACTAAAAAGCTTCTGCACAGCAAAGGAAACTGTCAACAAAGTGAAAAGACAACCTAACAATTGGCAGAAGATAGTTGCAAACCATATGTCTGATAAGGGGCTAATCTCCCAAATATATCAAGAACGCATGCATCTCAACAACAAAAAAACTAACAACCCAATTAAAAAATGGGCAAAAGACCTGAACAGGGGGCTGGCCCAGGGGCACGGTGGTTGGGTTCTCAAGCTCTGCTTCAGCGGCCCAGGGTTCTCAGGTTTGGATCCCAGGTGCTGACCTATTCACCTCTTGTCAAGCCGTGCTAGGGGGGCATCCTACACAGAGCAATTAGAAAGATGTACAATTATGACATGCAACTATCTGCTGGGGCTTTGGAGAGAAAAAAGGAAAAACGGAGGAAGAAACAGATGTTAGCTCAAGGCAAATCTTCCTCAAAAAAAAAAATAAAGACCTGAACAGGCATTTCTCCAGAGAAGATATACAGATGGCCAACAGGCACATGAAAAGAACTTCAACATCATTAACTATCAGGGAAATGCAAATCAAAACTACAATGAGATATTCACCTCACTCCCGTCAGAATGGCTATAATTAATGAGACAGGAAACAACAAGTGTTGGAGAGAATGTGGAGAGAAAGAAACTCTCATACACTGATGGTAGTGTGAACTGGTGCAGCCATCATGGAAAACAGTATGGAGATTCCTCAAAAAATTAAGAATAGAACTACCATATGATCCAGCTATTCCACTGCTGGGTATTTATCCAAAGAAAACACCAATGCATAAAGATACATGCACCCTTGAGTTCACTGCAGCATTATTCACACTAGCCAAGTCTTGGAAGCAACCTAGGTGCCCATCAAGGGACGAATGGATAAAGATGTGATATATATACAAAATGGAATACTACTCAGCCATAAGAAACAATGAAATCCAGCCATTTGTGACAACATGGATGGACCTTGAGGGTATTATGCTAAGAGAAATAGGTCAGAGGGAGAAAGTCAAATACTATATGATCTCACTCGTAAGTGGAAAATAAAAACAACAGGAAACAATCACATAGAGACAGAGATTGGATTGGTGGTTACCATAGGGGAAGGGGGGAGGGAGGAGGGCAAAAGGGACGATTAGGCACATGTGTGTGGTGATGGATTGTAATTAGTCTTTGGGTGGTGAACACGATGTAATCTATGCAGAAATAGAAATATAATGATGCACATCTGAAATTTATATAATGTTATAAACCAATGCTACTGCAATAAAAACAAGTATTTATTGAGCACCTACTATGTGCCAGGCACTGCTCTAGGTGCTGGGGATACTCTAATAAACAAAACCACTGTCATGGACACCTGATTCAGGGTACATCATGATGACTGCTATGGAAAAAATAAGGCAGCGTGTAAGAACATAGGTAGTGATGGAAGGAGGGGCAATTATCAGGAAAGAAAGGCCTCTCTGAGGAGGGAACATTAGCTGAGCCACCTGTGAGGCCACAGGGTAAAGAGCATTCCAGCCAGAAATAATGGAAAGTACAAATGCTCTGAAATGGAAGTCTGCTTGGCATGTTCAAAAATGGTGAAAAACTCCATGAGGTTGGACCCGAGTGAACAAGGGGCAGTGTGAAAGGAGATGGAGTCACACAGGGAGGCCCGTGCAGCTCACGGAGGGACTTGGAAGCCAGGGTTGGATTTTATTTTCATTCTGAATGTGACAAGAAGCCACTGAGGATTTTGAAAGAGGGGATGGCGTGACCACGTTTGTAAGTCGGAGGAATCATTCTGGCTTCTGTGTGCAGACTAGATTGTAGAGGGTTAAGAGCAGAAACAGAGAGACCAGTGAGAAGTTTACTTCAGCAGTCCAGGCAAGAAAGAACGATGGCTTGCACAAGTGGTAGCGGTGGAAGGTATAGGAGGTGGTCAGATAAGGGACGCACGTGAAATTAGAGCCCACAAGAGTAGACAGCAGGTTGGGTAAGGGAGACTAGTCAAGGGTTACACGCAAGTCTTTGTTCTTAACAGCTGGATACAATTTCTTGAGATGAAGAAAACCAGAAAAGAGCCAAGGAGTTTGGTTTTGAACATATTAAATTTGAGAAGCCTAGTAACATGCAAGTGAAGAAATTTGGCAGCTCGTTGGAAATGGGAGTCTGAGGTTCAGGAGATACGTTGGGACTGCAGATCTGAATTGGGGAGTCATGAGCGTATCAGTGTGCCTGGTAAAATGATTTCCTCTGCTCTATTTCCTCCCCCCTGCACCTTCATCTAAAACCCTCATCACGAGAGGTAACCTGGACATGTCTCTGTTTCCTGAAACCTGGTGGAGCCATAAGTACCACGGTAACTGAAAGAGGAAAAAATAAATGACCACAGGAGATAGGAGACTCATCTGTCTACGCATTAATTGATACGGCATAGGTGAGATGCCGCATCTCTCCCCTGTTCCTTTGGCCTCTGTACCCAGTAACTCCCCCCAACCTAAGGAGAGAGGAGAAAGGAGGAGTCTGGCTAGTTTGTTTTTGTATTGTTTTGTTTTGTTTTACTAACCAGTTACTCACTGGGTCCTTTTGGAAGCTCTAATTGGCCTTTTTGTCAGAACAGTCTTTTTCAGGATATTAATCATATCTGTTGCTGCTTGCTTTCCCGGCAAACTTTGTTAACACTCAATAATTGCATGTTCTACTGCAATTTGAAGAATCAGACATTTCAGAGCAATTGTATTATTGTATGTAGCATCTCAATAACATTTCCTTTGCTAATTCACATTTCTTATGATTGAAGCTTCTTTGTGCGCTCACAATACACCGTATGTTACCATTGCTTAATTTTGTCTTGAGATATTCATTTCTCGCTCTAAGGGACGGGTAGACTGAATAAAACATGTGGATTTAGCTTTCTCTTTTCTTTCATCAGAAGCGGGAGACTTACTTAGGTATTTACTGCTTTTAAATGAGGACCTAAGTGGTTTGTAATAACACCGATAGCCTCTTGAAAGAATTACTGTGCTTTCTCAAGCCTTTCACTCATGACCAAAGACGATTATCACTGAATGACCTTCTTGGACAGCTCAACAGTAGTAAGGTTTTATGTAAAAATGTGCAATGTGACTAACTTCCCTAAATGTTAGGATCCCACATTCTTGTGATATTTGAGAGCTAAATATAATGAAAACCATGAGCCCTTGGGGCCTTGATTTTAAGATTTTCCTTTAAAAATAATACTATTATTCTCTGAGGACATAGGAATGGTATTACTTTATTTGGTTAAGCCAACCCAAAATAAAACAGAGGAAATCATTAAATGAGTGAAGATATATCTTTCATTGTTTCCCATTCATGCCAAAACTGATGTGTCTTAAAAGTCCAAGATGACTTACAATAGGGAAAATATCTTCAAAATGATTACATTTATCTTCGCAGAGGGGTGCCTGATTGATAGTCTCAATAATTACCCTGCAATAAACTACAATGCTGATGATCACATTATGTACTGCAGTCTTACGAACAAGCAAACATGGTGTTTTATAGCTGCACAGGAAGGAAGTTTATTGAAAGTAGCTATTAATGTGTCCATTTATATCCCATCTCCCTGAAAAGGCCCCAAATCTAGAGAGAGGACAGAGTGGAAAATTTCACTCCTAATTTAGACATCTCTGCAGACTCCAGAGGAAACTGCTCAGCCGGCCTCTCCTGTAGCTGAAATCAAGCTGGATGATTGCACGATGAACCACGGGGCCAACGGCCCAAGCGCCAGACTGGAACTTGAGCTACTGGATTGGACACACTGCCTCATGTCAGGAACATTTTTGTGTGAGAAATAAAAAAAGCCTTCCCTGGAATTGATGTTGGCCAAAATTCTGATACACTTAGATGTTCTTTTAGTAGTTCCAATTTTGGAGGAAACTTCTGGGAAAACGCCAGAATCTGAGCTAGCATTCTTAATTGTTATTTCAACAGCTGTTAGATGTAGAGCTAACAGCTATTTGATTGGGTTTCTTAGAGCTGCTCCTGACACAAGGCAATGAGGCAACACTTTACATTAAATCTGCCCCAAATTCAAGTTACTCTACTTTGCTTAAGCCAAGAAAAAAATAACAATCATCTGCCAACATTGGCAAGAGTAATTAGGGATTCCAGAAAAATCTCTTCAAGGAAAATGTCTGAGGAAGAGTAAAACAAAAACTTTTGTCATTATTTTGGAAAATCTGAATTCCAGACTGAGATTCTGAGACCTCTCTAGTTATTTCTTCTTCAAACACCTATTTACTCTTGATGAAACTAAATATTAAATAGATAAAATATCTTACTGAAAGAAACGTTATTAAGTTGTAGAGCTGAGACAGGATCTAGCTTATAATCAAGCAGATGATCCTTGGGAACAGACAGCTTGCCAGCCATGAACTCCATACTCACAACAACCTAAAAAAGTACCTGAACAGTACCTTTCATGGCAGGTGGTGTGTACACACTCTGCTTCCTTTGCTTAGGGGATGCATTCTGTGACTGTGGACGAAGAGAAAAAAGTAAGAGTCTTATATTTGGATAAAAAGTACAATGCCATCAGCCCTGTGAGAGAAATAAACACTGTCATATTTCAAAAAGCTGTCTGATTTCTCCGTCATGAAATAGAACCCTAACCAATGAGAAATTATATACAGGTTCACTGATATCATAGTCTTAAGAGCTGTATGAAGCTAGGGGTCTATTTTATCATAAAACTCTTCATCATTGCAGTTTTGGAATTATTCTATTTTCTTATCTAGTAGCAGTTTAGTTTTAAAAGAAAGAGAAAAAGAAACACTAATCTTTTCCATTTGAAAGAAAAGCATGAGTGCCAGGACAAAATGTACTCCAAAAGTGATGTCCATGGGATAATTACACCTGTTCATAAGATTGTTGAGTGGTTCTGGAGGGATAATGAGGATCCTTGGTAAGTAATATTAATCTATAACCCCCTGGAATTGATATGTTCAATCTAATATCTTCATTTACTTGGAATTACAATGTCGAGATAATATTCTTTTCTATGTTCGAAAGATAAGCCCTTTCCTAACAAAACTGTTATTTAATATTCTTACCTAAGCACACTGAATCAGGATTAATTTATTGAAGGAGAGATTTTTTGCATTAAAAATGATACCAATAGGAACACAGGAAGATATTTCAGGGTCAAAACAGCAAATAATAATATGGACCTCTCTTTCTCTGTCTCTCTCTGTCTCTCTCTGTCTCTGTCTCTCTCTCTATATATATACATATATACACACACACACGTATAAATATATGTATGCATGTATATATATGTGGTCAATACTCCAATCAGATTATGTCAAAGACTCCTTTTTAATAGTGCGTTGATTTATATTTCAATGTGGCAAAGGTATGGGTTTTAGTGTATGGAGCAATTATTTTTGCTTTGAAAAGCTCAGGTATAAATAGTTATGACTTACTTTTGGGGGATGTTCTAGGCTTTCCACGCACATTAGGGAGAACATAATGTGCACAGTATGATAAAAACTAGAAACTGTTTTACGGAGTTGTAAATAGAACTTGGGGCATCTTTCCTCCTACATACTGAAGCTTAATTGCCGTCAAACAGATCATCAACATGTTAATATTTACTGGATGCTAAAACAATCTATTAAAAAGTAAAAAATTTAACAAAATAGTTGCCAAATCCATATCAACCCAGCATATGGTACAAGGAAATTTCTCAAGAATACAACGTTTCCGTACCATTCTATCATGCACAGGCACAGGCAGGCAACTCTACATTGACGTAAACATGTGGAGGATTGATATTTCTATTGTACCTCTACTGTATTATACATATACATCCAGTCACTCAGTTGAAATTCAGTCACGTCTGGCTGAGTTTGAGAAGCAATCACTTCTGGGATTTCTTATATGTTTATTTCCATACGCATATTAGAAGATCAAGTAGAAAATTAATTTCAAGTAGAAAATTAACTCTACAGAAAAGTTTGTTTGTTCAAACTTTTTTAACATAGTGGTAAAACTTATTAAGTAACAAAAACTACTTTATATTTATGTAAGAGTTTAATTTTCAAAGCATTTTCACTTTTACAATCTCATTAAGTTTTTAGAAAAATCTTGAGAGACACTTTTTGGTATTCTGTTCTTTCTACATTTTCCTCTGAGTATTGCTGTATGTCCAGTCATGTGGCCATGGGAATTGACTATTAAATCTGCACACTTCCTATTCAATATTTGTTTCATTTCTGGGTGCAAATTTACTCACTTCCTTGTATTCTATATATTCTACATTATCAGCTCCCCTAGCTTCCCCTGGTTCATATTTTCTATCTGAACTCCTACATGTGTATGTGGAGACTCTGGCCTCAGGGTCTGCTCTTGGCTCCACACCCCAGAAGACCCTTTATGAGGTGCCTTTCCCCATCTTATTTCTCCAGGATTCCAACATTGGCTGGCCCAGCCTGTGGTGGTCATATAGATCCAGTCATTCAATTAAAATTATCAATACTATATCTTGCCTCTAAAGTCACTGGTTTATTTTAGAATTTTTTTCAGGGGTTACTATTTCACAGGTAGAGAATCAAAGGTAACCTAGAGGCAGAGATTTAATGACACCATTTTACTATTTTTTCAGTCAGGAAAAGCAAACTAAATAGTTTTTAATCATGGTTATATTGGTATCATATTTTGTATCACATCAAATCAAAGTAATTGTGTTTTTAATTGATTTGAACACATATTTATACAAAATGTAAGAAAACTTACTTCGGCTTGCATGTTGGTCACCCTCTTGTCATCTATTTCTGCAAGAGAAGTAGGTGTAATTTATTAGAAAGGTGATATTCTTCCTTAAAATATGCATATTAATATTTTCAACTACACAGATCAAAATGATTTAATAATTGCTTTATGATTATGTAATATCCATGGCTTAGTCTTATGGCTTAGAGGGAAAAGGAGGGTACAAGGGGGTTGTTTCCTTTTGAGACAACCTTCTTCCAAAGGCTTAAAAAAGGCGATAAAGGAGGCATCCCTCCTGAAATCCCAAACTGCCCACCTTCCAGCAATCCAGAAAAGGGACCAGGGACATGACTCCTAGAACAACTGCTGGTGTCTTCAACCTCACAGTGCTAAGGATAAACAACTGCCTCTTCTCATGGATTTTGCTGCCACTGTCTACTGACTGTAACCCCTGTCAAATTTCCTCAAGTTTACCGCTAAGCAGAACAAACCTCCTTTTCCGCTCAGGCCAGTCGCTTGGACTCTAAGAGAGGCAGCACGCTCTTTTCTATATGTTAGGCCACAAATTAAGTCTCAATGGATTTAAAAAGATAGATATCATGAAAGTGTCTTCTCCAACCACAACGAGATAAAGTTAGAAATCAATAACAGAAGTAAAACTGCAAAATTCACAAATTTGTGGAAATTAAACGACACATAAATACAATATACCAAAACTTAAGAGACACAGGGAAAGTAATGCTAAGAGGAAAATTTATGGCTATAACTGCCCACTTTAGAAAACAAGAAAGATTTCAAATCAGCAACCTAACTTTAAAACTTAAGGAACTAGAAAAAAAGGAACAAACTAAATACAAATCTAAAGTCCTGAGAACCAGGGCGTCCGATGGTATAAGTCCTGGTTCAAGTCCAAAGACCCAATGGACTTGAATCAAGATGTACACTATTGGATCCCCTGGTACTCAGGACTTTAGATTTGTACTGGAGCTACCATTGGTTTTCCTGTGCCTCTAGCTTATAGATGACAGATTCTCAGCCTCCGTTATCACAAGAGCCAATCCCTCATAACAAATCTCTTTCTATATGTCCTATTGGTTCTGTTTCTCTGGAGAACCGTGACTAATATAGTCATCAAAAACATGGAAAGTGTAAGAAATTGCCATAGCCAAGAAGAGCCTAAGGAGACATGATAACTAAATGTAATGGGGAATCCTGGTTGAGATCCTAGAACAGAAAAAGGGCATTGGGTAAAAACTAAGAAAATCTGAATAAACTATGGACTTCAGTTAATGAAAATAATATACTAGTATTGGGTCATTAATTGTAATGATGAAACACTTTAATGACTAATGTAATATGTCATTAATAGGGGAATTCTGTTCAATTTTTCTGTAAATCTAAAACTCTTCCAAAAAAATGGTCTGTCAATAAAAACTAAAGCAAAAATAAAGAAAAGAAAAGCACTAAACACAAATAAAAATCACCCTATGAATATGTTTTTGTTATTACTGTCAGGATTCTGTATGTGATTTGAAGAACACCATATAGTCATTATTAGAAAGTAGGCACTGTAACTGAAAAGTTTATAAAAAAAATATACAATTTTAAAAAATGTTATGGGGGTCAATTAAAGAAAGAGAAAAAAAGGTGGAATTAAGGTTATGAAGAGAAGATTTTAAAGTTCACTTAAAATTGTTGAAAGCTGATGCAAGCAAAGATATGTTGTTAGTGGGAAAAATGAAGAGTGCAATGATTTTTAAACAAGTCCAATGATAATGAGAACTCTTTACTTTGATTTACTTACTGATTAAATGTGGAAAGAGAAGGAACAAAGTATAAAAGAAAATATTAGCAGTATCTATTTGATTATATATATCCTCCAGCTTTCTGCTTCTGTGTGTTTGTTCCTCATACTCAGAATTCTCCTTCCCTCATACCAAATACCACAATCCTTCACAGTTCTGTTCAAATGTCATCTCTTCTGGGAAATCTTTCCCAATTCATGCCTCCCCTATTCCCAATTAAAAGTTATCCTCCCCCGCCCTACACCCATAGCACTTTCCCTATGTTTGGCTCATAGTATTCATCATTATATACCCTTTACTATGGTCATTAGTGTTTTATCTCCTCAAATAACTGGTAAAGGAATGGTTTAATTCCTTCCTCCATGTTTAATTCTTCCACAGCTCTTAGCATAGTAGCATAGTTGACACATAACAGTTTATCAAATAAACATCTTAATGCCTATGTTTCATAAAATAAGACCATCTGTTTTCTGCTTCTCTATATTACAAAATACAATTGTAGTGCAATTACTCACTCATACTAGGTGAGTAACTATTAAATAAATAGTTTTAACAAATAATTATTTGGTTTGCAAACCTGTTAAGGAAGAGGTCATAACTTCTATTTATTTAAATCCGTTTACTAGGTCCAAGGCACTCAAATTCTTGCGCCATGGTACAGGCACCCAAATTCCTACAAATATTGCTTAGGTGGTTCAAAAGTGAATCTTGGAGGAAAAACAAGGATATGACTTTGATCTACAGATCAAAGTTTCCAGAGATTGGGAAGATATCTAGGGCAAGGACAATATATATCATAAGAGAAATTAAAAATAAGTGGCAGATACAGTCAAATTTAATACATGCTTTTATAGATATCAGCCTCAGGCAATAACTAAAACCACAGAAATACATGGCTTTTTCAGGATATTGGCTCCAGAAGAGCACTGACCCATATAAATAGAATGCTTTGGTAAAGAGTGATCCAATTTCTTAGAATAATACCAAAAGATACAGACTTTTGATGAATTAAGATAACAGAGGGTCACTTGAGTCTTTATTTTAGGCAGTTATTTGGGAAATGTGAGAGAAAAAGTCAGTTTAGAGACTGACATGACAGAAATTGGAGTACTTCCAATAAAAAGAATGTTGTAAGTTCATGCTTGAAGACTCCTCTGCTCAAAAGCAATAGTAATGACAGATTAAATATAAAAAGAGATGACTAAAATGATGCAGTAATAGTCAATAATTAGTCAAACATCTCTATGAACCATAAACATGAGAAAGCAAAATGCAATAATCAGGTAAGAAACCACAGCCTGAAAGACTTTGGATCTAGAAACAGACAGAGTCAGCTGAGAATTCTTATCCATGAGTAAAAAGGTTGACTTCATGTGAAAGAAGGAACAAAAGCCAGGCTTTTGATTGGAACCAAAGCAGGACTCATGGTACAGGACCTCAAATGCTTATAAATATTGCTTAAGTGAATCTTGGAGGAAAAACAAGGATATGTGACTTTGCTCTGTTGGTTTCTAGAGATTGGGGAGATATCTGGGTCAAGGACAATGTATATCATAAGAGAAATTAAAAATAAGTGGCAGATAAAGTCAAATTTAATATACACAGGGTATATGCTATGCTGAGAAAAGGCACTGATCTATGTAACTGGAGAAACAGGAGAAAGTGGGTAACTTGGGACAGCCACCATGGGCTCGGTGGCTACATCTACTCTATTTCTAGTATCACCATGGAACAGGAGTCCTGAGGTCCAAATTAAGACCTGATTCTAGATTAAAATTCTGTAGTGTTGAATGGAGACAGACTCGAGAACATTAACAAGCAAAGATAAGCACAGAAGGGGAAATTCTCTTCATGATGAGTTGAAAATTAAAATCTCAAAACACAAGAACAAAAAGAAACATTTAAGAATGATTGCCAAGGGGCCGGCCCAGTGGTGTAGTGGTTAAGTTCATGCACTCCACTTCAGCGGCCCAGGGTTTGCGGGTTTGGATCCTAGGCGTGGACCTGCACACTGCTCATCAAGCCGTGCTTTGGTAGCATCCCACATACAAAATAGAGGAAGATTGGCATAAATGTTAGCTCGGGGCTAATATTCCTCACCAAAAAAAAAAAAAAAAAAAAAGAATGATTGCTAAAAAAGCAGTTGGAAGATGAATTCCCTCCAGATGAAATGAAAACTTCAGAGCAATTTGAAAATGCCTTTAATATTTGGTACCTACAAAGAGAGAAAGAAGAAAGTATATCCATTTTTTTAAAAATCAAGAAATGTTGAAACAAAAGCTACAGTGAAAAAAGAACAGGTGGATATAAAAAGAAACAATTAGAAATATAAAATTTAGTCATGGACATAAAAAACTCAATAAAGGTGAAAATCTCTAGGGTAGGCAAGTATAGCTTAGAAACCTTGGGCATTATATATAAAACAAATATCAGGAGACTCTAAAAGGCAGAGAGAAGAAAGCAGACCAGCTAGGAACTTTTATCTGAGGAACAGCACAACAGTGAGTTCTCTAGGTTCCTTTTGACTCATATATGCTGGATTGGATGCTAGAGAAGCTGACAATCCAGAAATACTAACAGCAACAGACCAAAAAAAAAAAAAAAAAAAAAGAAGCTCCCAAGAAAGCTTACTTTCTCTAACCAATCGACCGGGAAAAGGACATTTACTTTCTAAAAGACAGAAAACCTTTATATATTAACTGCTCTTCTTGCTTCTTGTTTGTGGAAGCCAAATGGGAAGGTGGCCCTTTCACAACCATCTAGTGGCAGCCAGAAAGAAATGACACTTTACCAACAGGGAAAAACAATTTGAATACCAGCAATTTTTCATTAGAAACCATGAAGGCCAGAAGGAATTGGCGCAACATTTTTCAAGTGTTGAACAAAACTGTCAACTTGGCAATTCCACATCTAGTGAAGTTATGCTTCAAGAGTGAAGAGGAAATAAAGACAACATTGGATGAAAGAAAACTAAGAGAATTTGTCACTAGTAGTCCTATCCTAAAAGAATGGCTTAAAGAAGTTTTCTAATCAGAAGGGAAATGATTCAAAAAGGAATCTTGGAACATCAGAAAGGAAGAATGATGGAAAGAGAAAAAATATGGGTAAATATCATAGACTTTGCTTCTGCTCTTGAGTTTTCTACGTTATAGGTGACAACTGATACAAAAAATTTAACATTGCCCGATATGGTTCTCAATGTATGTAGAGGAAATATTTTTTAAAAATCATGTTATAAATGAGAGAAAGTAAAGAGA